ATGGTCTCTGAGTAGGTGCCTGCCCCAGCCCAACTATCATCTCCAGCTAGTTTCCCACAAAAGCCACTTGTCACCAAAGCCAGGATAAAAATTAAAAAAAAAAAAAAAAACAGAAAAACAGTACATTTATCTTTAGCCTCCCCTCCCCAACCCCACTGGCTGGTGGGCAGATGACCACCTGGGAGTGTTTTTCCACTCCAGTCCTGGCCTCCCTCCCTGAAATGCTTAGTCTGGAAGGGAAGGGAAAGCCAGCCAACCTTTAGAGCAGTCAGGGTGAGTACTACCTTCCAGGAGCCCAAAGTACCCAAGTGTGTCTGCATACAACGCACAGGCAGGCACGCTGAGAGACCTGGGCTCTGGAGCCAAGGGAACCGGGGTGCACAGAAGCACAGGAGTCAGGACACCCATAGACCTCTGCTACGGACCCATGGACCTCGGCTCCATACCATAGACCTCTGCTACGGACCCATGGACCTCGGCTCCAAGAATCCCAAGTGGGGGGTGGAGAGACCATCTTAGTAGAGGCTGCCAGCTGCAGGCATGGGGTGGAGCCAATGGAGAACTTGGGCCAGCAGGGTCTAGGGCAACTGGACAGAATGTCTGGCGCCTTCTCAGCCCATCAGCTCCCTCAGGCAAAGAGGCCAGCCAGCCTTCCTTCCTGAGCTGCTGTTTCCTGGCCCCGCCCTGCTGTTGCCACGGAAACCCAGAGCAGCCCAGCTTCCCAGCCTGGTTCCCATGGAGGGGTTCCCCCTCGGCACAGAGCGGCATTGCTGGGGAGGCCCACACAGCATGCCTCAGCACCAGCAGTCACACACACCATGCAGCCACCCCAGAGCAGAACACCCCGAAGGGTTGGACAGCAGCCCCAAGGCTCACAGCATGTCCCATCCAGTAACCCCAGAAGTGGCACAGCCTATGACAATACCCTGGTTCCCCACATACCCAGCACAGTACACCAGCACTACCCCGGATTCAGAAACAGCCTTCAAGATCTTCAAGAAATGTCCTCCAAACACCGGAGCCCCACAAAAGCCCCACCACTATGTGTAACGCTCCCAGTGACCCACAGCAGTCTGGTTCACCACCTCCCACAATGACACTGGCCATAGGCCCCACAGGCCCCTGCCTCTCAACACAGGTTAATTAACCCCTTCCTACTCCCACTGGTCCAGGGTACCTGGGGTAGATCAGAGTCCACTCCACGCAACACCCTGAGTGCACACCACCCCTCAGCCCTACAACAGCCCTTGGTGGCACTATGCATCTGAGACCTGCCCCCCACCCCTCCCCACACAGACCCCATCCCCTCACCAGCACAACACTTCACAAAGCACATGTGCATGCGCGCGTGTGCGCGCACACACACACACAGAGGTTATGACCTTCCAGAAAGACCAAGGATAACCCCAGCCTCCAGTCCCCTCAGCTTCGGCCTCTCCCAGCCAGGCCTGGAGCTAAGAGAGGTGAGAGTAGATAGGGTCTGAATAAGATGCTGGCCAGAGTCTCCCACCTGAAGCCATCTTGGCCTTCAACAGGGACCCCGGCCTCACCCTTTGGAAGTGGGAGTGCCCAGGCCCCGAAGGAGTCTGTAATTGGTCCCAGCCCCTGCTGCTCCTTTAGCGGCCAGGGGCTGGTGGGTGGGAGCCTGGGAGGTCTGTGCCCAGGCAATGCCTGGGAGGTCCCACCACCCCCCTCAGGAACTAAGCCAAGCTGAGCCCCCATCAGAGCCACCAAGGGAACTACCCAGAATCCTTTTTGTGCCTCACCCAGAGGCCAGGGTTCCAGTCCAGGCTTGGAGAGAAATTAGGTGGAAGGCAGAGAGTATACACTGCATACTCTGGCCAGCTCCACACTCACAGAAAAAGATTGCCTCTCTACTCTGCCTTTCTGGAGACCGGACATAGAAAGGGCCCCTCCTCCTGGTAGGCGGCAGCTGACCTGGGCAGGGCTGGGCTGAGTTGGGTTCTAGAAACAGAGGAATGACCCGAGGCTCATAAGTTGCTGTTCCTTGCTCCTTCTTGGGACAGAGTTACGCTGCAGCTTACAGTGGCCACAGAAGTCCTTGGGTGCTGGTGCCAAGGGCCATACTTTCCTAAGACTCTTGGCCTTCAACCCATGATTCTTCACCTTCTCATGAGAGAATCCAGCTTGTCTGGCTCCCAAGGCCCTGGGCAGCCCCCAGATTCAGGTCCATCATCTCCCCAGGCAGGCAGACCAACAGACACAAACACACATGCAGACCACACACACGCTCATATTCTCCCTCCCCCCCTCGGTCCTCCCCAGCACAGATGGTCACACCCACACCAACTCCCTCCCGGGCCTGGGAAGTCCTTCCAGCCCTGAGGCTCACCTCTCTGGCTGACTACACTCCCCTTCCTCACAGCTGTCGCATCTGGGTAGCGTGTAGGGGAGGGTGGCTGGGCCCTGCATAGGAAGGGGACATCCAGGATGCGCTGCCCAGCCTTGCTTGCAGGACAAGATAGCTTGACACCTGAGCCCCATAGGTGGGGAAGCTCATCAGGTGATACAGCCGGGGGGGGGGGGGGGGGGGACGCTGGAGGGGCCCAGGGACAAGATGAGGAAACAGAAACAGAGGAAACACAAGACGCTGACAGCTACTGTGTTCAGAGCACTCAGATGGCTCTGGGGCTCTGAGGAGCAGCAGAATACCAGGGCCCAGAGAACTTCAAACCTAATGTGGGGGGAACTAATGCAAAGGGTCCTGGGAGCCTCAGGAGCCTCAGAAACCTTTACCTCAGACCAGCCACTGCTCAAGAGAGGCTTGGTTCTGATGACCCCAGACTACACCCACGAGGCTAGGGGGTAGAGGCGGCCCTACCAAAGGTTAGTCAGGATTGGGGGAGGTCAGCGCAACTGCCGTCCTTTGTTTAGTTTGCAGCGCTGGGGACTGGATCCAGAACCTCTTACATGCTAGGAGGCGCACTTCTGCTGAGTCCTACTCTCAGTCCCCAGCTCCAGTCCCTTGACTCACCCTTCAACCTAAGGTCTTCACACAGCTTCTGACCCTCCCCAGCTGCCCCGCCACTTACCAGCTACACTGGGACCCAGCCAGAGGTTGCCGGCACCACCAGTGGGGACCTGTGAACTTATCCACACATTGCCAGCCTCTGGAGGAAAGGCTGGGCACTGTACCTCGCTCTGCTGCGGCTTCCCCAGCACACCAGCCTGGCTTCATGTCCCTGGATCAGGTTTAGGACCCATGATGAGCCTAGGGAGATCTGGAGAGCAGTCAGCTGGTAAACCTGGCCATCTAGCGCCAGGTCCTACACAACAGGATGTCAGGTGGGGAGGAGGGGACAGCCAGATGTCTGCTGAGTGACCATGAGCAGGAATGCTGGGGACAGAGCAGAAACAGCCCCTGGGGTGATCACGACCCCCAGGGGACCCACATTATTCCTAAGGGGCCCTCTATGAGGTCTAGACAGCCACCAGACACCACAGAGGCCTAGGGTCACTGACATCTGTAGCCTCATCCTGAGCTCCCAACTCTCAGAGGGGAGGGGATCCTGAATAGCAGGGGGCTTGGAGTGGATAGAGGGGTCTTGACTCCGCCCAGCTGCCTCCCAGGGAAACTGGAACTTCCCTCCCTCTACCCCTCCCCTTTTGGTGCCAGTCCCAGTTCCAGATTTTTTTTGATAGTTAATTGGAACTAAGAGTATCAATTAGGGACTTTTCTGCCCAGGTTGGCTTCAGACAGTGATCCTCAGATCTCAAAATCCAATTTGCTAGGGTTACAGGTGTGAGCCACTAGCTTGACTCCTGTCTGGACATTTTTTTTCCCTCTCTCTTCCAGTCTTGGGGCTTGAACTCAGGGCCTGGGCACTGTCCCTGAGCTTTCTTTTGTTCAAGGCTAATGCTCAACTATTTGAGCCACAGCACCACTTCCGGCTTTTTCTGCTTATGTGGTATTGAAGAATCAAACCCAGGGGCTGGGAAGGTGGATCAGTGGTAGAGCGCTTGCCTTGCATGCCTGAGGCCCTGGGTTCGATTCCTCAGCACCACATAAGCAAAAAGAAAAAAGCTGGAAGTGGAGCTATGGCTCAAGTGGTAGAGCGCTGAGGGACAGCGCCCAGGCCCAGAGTTCAAGCTCCACGACCGGACCCAAAAAAAAAAAAAAAAGAATCAAAACCCAGGGTTTCATGCATGCTGGGCAAGCGCTCTACCACTGAGCCACCTTCCCAGCCCCTGACATTCTCTTAATGGAGCCGCACTTGGCAGGCAGGAAGCATGTTCCCGGCAGTGGGAGCTATCAGCATCTGGAACCAGGATCCCTTCCTGATGGAGTGCAAAGGACTCAGGGAAAATTAAGGCTAGGGGCTCCCCTAGAGCTCCCTTTAAGCTTGGCCCAGGGAGGGAAAACCAGGAAGACCAGAGTTCTCCTGCCTTATCTGTCCAGTGTCTTCTCTTTTTACAGTAATGTCTTCACCTGGACAAGAGAACCAACCTACAGCAGCCCCCACACAGCAGCCCCTGGGGGACAGGGCCCTCTCCACTGACCCCAGGGTGAAGTCGGGCGGCCGTCTGGGGGACAGGGCCCTCTCCACTGGCCCCAGGGTGAAGTCGGGCGGCCGTCTGGGGGACAGGGCCCTCTCCACTGGCCCCAGGGTGAAGTCGGGCGCTATGGAAGCGCGCCCTTCCTGAGGGAAGTGGTGAAGACGGCCGCCCCAGAACTTGGTTCACAAGTCGGTCGGTCCCTGCCCGGGCCGGCTCCGTGGGTGGGGCGGCGGCGCGGCCCGGCCCACGCCGGCGGCGTCTCCCACTTGGGGGTCTCCCCTTCGGAGGCGGGCCGGGGAGGGCGCCTGCGCCGGGGAGGCCTCCGCGGGGTCCGGCCGGGCCGCGGAAGAAAGGGAGCGGGGGGGGGGGGGGGGGGGCGGTGGCGCCCCGCCCCGGCCCGGCCCGCCGCGGATTGGCTCCGCGGCGCTATATCTGGGCGCCCGCCGGCGGCGCGGGCACCGCGTCCCCGGCCGCTCCCAGCCGCAGCCCCCGCCGCCCGGCCCGCAACGCCCGCCGCCGTCCTCCGCGCTCCCGCGCCGCGTTCCGCCCAGGCCGCGCCCAGCGGGAATGCAGAGATCGCCGCCCGGCTACGGCGCACCGGACGAGCCGCCCTCCCGCCGAGACCGCGCATGGGCCCCGGGACGCGGGCCAGCCGCTGAGCCCCGCAGCCCGCCGCGCAGCCCGGAGCCCGCACGCTATGGCCTCGGCCCGGCCGCCGACGAAGCGCGCATCCGGCGGCCCATGAACGCCTTCATGGTGTGGGCGAAGGACGAGCGCAAGCGGCTGGCGCAGCAGAACCCGGACCTGCACAACGCGGTGCTGAGCAAGATGCTGGGTGAGCGGGCCGGGCCGGGGCGGGGCGGCCCTCGGGGGACGGGGAGCGGGGCGCGGGCGAGGACGGGCCGGCCCTCGGGGGACGGGGCGCGGGCGGGGACGGGGCGCGGGGCGCAGGCGGGGACGGGCCGGCCCTCGGGGGACGGGGAGCGGGCCGCGGGCGGGAACGGGCCGGCCCTCGGGGGACGGGGCGCGGGCGGGGACGGGCCGGCCCTCGGGGGACGGGGCGCGGGCGGGAACGGGCCGGCCCTCGGGGGACGGGGCGCGGGCGGGGACGGGCCGGCCCTCGGGGGACGGGGCGCGGGCGGGGACGGGGCGCGGGCGGGGACGGGCCGGCCCTCGGGGGACGGGGAGCGGGGCGCGGGCGAGGACGGGGCGCGGGACGCGGGCGGGGACGGGGCGGCCCTCGGGAGACGCGGGGACGGGGCGGCCCTCGCGGGGCACCGGGCGAAGAGGCGCCGTCCGCCGCCGTGGCCGCGCCCCGGCCCGGCTGCGCGCTGACCGCCGGGTCCGCGGCCCGCAGGCCGAGCGTGGAAGGAGCTGGGCGCGGCGGAGAAGCGGCCGTTCGTGGAGGAGGCGGAGCGGCTGCGTGTGCAGCACCTGCGCGACCACCCCGACTACAAGTACCGGCCCCGCCGTAAGAAGCCGGCGCGCAGGGCGCGGCGCCCGGAGCCCGGCCTGCTGCTCCCGGGCCTGCCGCCGCCGCCCGAGCCCTTCGCCTTCCGGGAGCCGCCGCCGCCGCGGCCGCCGCCGGGCTCCGAGCTCGACGGCCTGGGGCTGCCCACGCCCGAGCGCTCGCCGCTGGACGGCCTGGAGCCGGGCGAGGCCGCCTTCTTCCCGCCGCCCGCGGCCCCCGAGGACGGCGCGCTGCGGGCCCTCCGCGCCGCCTTCGCGCCCGAGCCGGCGCCGGACCCCGCCGGCTACGGGGCGCTCAGGACCGCGCCCGCCGCGCCGCTCGCCGGCTTCTACTACGGGCTGGGCGCGCCGGGCCCCTACCCCAGCCCGCTGTCCCCGCCGCCCGAGGCCCCGCCGCTGGACGGCGCCGAGCCGCTGGCGCCGCCCGCCGACCTGTGGGCCGACGTGGACCTCGCCGAGTTCGACCAGTACCTCAACTGCGGCCGGACGCGCCCGGACGCCGCGCTCCCCTACCACGTGGCGCTGGCCAAGCTCGGGCCCCGGGCCATGTCGTGCCCGGAGGAGAGCAGCCTCATCTCCGCCCTGTCCGACGCCAGCAGCGCCGTCTACTACAGCGCCTGCATCTCGGGCTAGGCGGCCGGCGGCGGGGCCGCTGCCGCGCGTGCGCGCAGGCTCCCTCCCCTCCGTCCTCCCCCCCCCCCCCTGGTCTGTCTCCCCCAGTCTGTCTCTCCCTCTCCCCCTCCCCCTCTCCGATGTTTTGCCTATGCAATGACCTTGACCCCAGCCACTGGCTTGGTGACCCTGCTGGTAGCTTCTGGATGTGAACTCTTCCAGGAAGCCCTGGTCTAGGATCTGCCTGCCTGCCAGGGTCACCTTTTTTGAAGCATCTAGTCCTTCTCTTGCAGTATATTTTCTAGAACCAGACTGTATTTTTTTATTGGCCTTTTATATACTTAGTACAATATATATTTAATTTTTAATTAAACTTTTCTTCTGAAGGGTTTCAGTGACCACCAGCATCCATGTAGCAAGGGCTTGAAAACCATGCAAGGAGAAACAACGTTTGCCGTAAAGGGTGCCCAGGCGTTGGCTCCCTGGGCCCGGGCCACAATAAAATGCCTAGGCCTTCCCATCACTACACACTGTGTCTGTGGTTGTTGCTGTCCCTGTCTGGAGCCATGAGTACTTTCCTCCTGATGAATCTCCCAGGAGTCCGGTTCTCCTTGAGCCCCAATTTCTCTTCTTTCCAGGTGGACTCCCTGACAGCATTACTCTGTCATCCAGCCTGATTCCCCTCCAGTTACATCCCCCATCAAAACTAGATGGTCTGACCATACCAACTCCCCTGGGCAACCCTTACCCAATTAGGTTCACCTCTACAAAGCTTCCTGCATCTGAGGAACCTTCATCTGCTCATACCACAGCTTTCTGGGCCTCTATCCAGTGTTCTTGCTCAACCAGTTTCCTGAGAAAGTGCAGCACCACACCTTGCCCACTCTGCTCCCCAAGACAACCTGTCCCTCCTTTGCTGAGAGAGGGCGGATGGCCAGGGCAGGAGGGGCCCAGACCCCTCATCCTCATTCTGAATCCCTGTCAGACTGTCCCTGCCTAGGCTCCTAGATGGACTGGATTCCTCTTTCTACCCCATCTCCTTGGCCTTCCTGAGTCCTTTTCAAAATCCCCTCACTGGACAAACCCCTGGAATCAGGAAAAGTTGGATCAGTCGCTCTGGAAGTGGGCCCTGCATAGTAGTCTCCAGGCCTAAACGGTCTCCTTAGCGGGGAGGATGGGAGACACAAGGATGAGGTCCTACCGAGCACCCTCGTGGGGTGGCTAGCTGGTCCTTAGAAGGTTGTGATAGCTTGTACTCCTATGTGGGGTATGAGATGCCCAGCCAGATGTGTGACAAGCTATTCATGAGCATCTGCACAGGGAGCCCAGGGCATGTGGGGGGGTTTATGCAGCCGGGGCTGCATCACGTGCCCCCTTTGACACATTCACAATAAGCTCCACACCTAGCCGGGTGCCAGTGGCTCCCGCCTGTCATCCCAGCTACTCAAGAGGCTGAGACCTGAGGACCGCAGTTCAAAGCCAGCCTGGGCAGGAAAGTCTGTGAGACTCTTATCTCCGATAAACCACTCGGAAAACTGGAAGTGGCGCTGTGGCTCAAGTGGTAGAGCGCTCGCCTTGAGCTGAAGAGCTGAGGGACAGCGGCCAGGCCCAGAGTTCAAGCCCCACGACTGACCAAAAACAAAAGAAAAAAGTTCCACACCTCAAATGGCAGTGGGGAGGGTTGTACCCAGGCTCCCCATAAGCAGCAGAGCACAAAGAACCCAGACAGAGACAGAAGGGAACAGAAAGTCATAGTACCAAGGATAGCAGTGCTTGAATGTCCTGCCTCGGTAGCCATCCCAAGCCCACATCCCTGTCCCTCCTGGCCCTGTTGGTCTCCTTCCACCAGGGCAGGGCTCTCCTCCCAACGTCTGAGCTAGTCTGTGCCTGGGAGCATCCCAGAAGGAAAGGGGGACCAAGAGCAAATAAAGTGCTTTGACTCCTCAGAAGATACTGTCATCACCGGAGGCACACTGAGATTCTAACTCAGCACAACTCCAGAGACAACTGACGTTATCAAAGCCATGCTGGGACAGGCAAAAGGAGCCTGTGCATTTAAAACCGGAGCCTCTGGGCTGGGAAGTCCTTGCCTCATGTGCATGAAGCCCTGGGTTCAATTCCTCAGTACCACATCAACAGAAAAAGCCAGAAGTAGCGCTGTGGCTCAAGTGGTAGAGTGCTAGCTTTGAGCAAAAGGAGCTCAGGGAAAGTGCCCAGGCCCTGAGTTCAAACCTCAGGACTGGCAATAAATAAACAAATAAATAAAACCCCAGCCTCCAACTTAGAAGGGTGAACTCAAGACTGACCCAACTGGACACTCTACTACTACACCCCAGCTACTTGACTGACATTTGCTTTTGCCGTCCTTGGGGACTTGCCTCAAATCTGACCCCACTCCAAGCCAGGCCCCACCAGCCATCTGCCCTGCCACTGGGGAGGGCTTCTAGGAACCACTAGACACCTTGTGTCCTACGCAAAAGTTTTAGGTGCACAACTCTGGTTTTGGGAGTATTCACAGGCATGGGAAACATTAACTCTATCAAAATTGGAGATGTTTCTCATCATCTCCATAAACAATCCAGTACTAGTTTTTTTTTTTGTGGGTCATGGGGCTTGAACTCTGGGCCTGAGCACTGTCACTCAGCTCTTCAGTTCAAGGCTAGCGCTCTATCACTTGAGCTACAGCACCACTTCTGGTTTTCTGGTGGTTTATTGGAAATAAGAGTTTCATGGACTTTCCTACTCAGGCTGGCTTCAAACTGCAATCCTCAGATCTCAGCCTCCTGAGTGGCTAGGATGACAGGTGTGAGCCACCAGCACCCGGCTACTCATCTTTACTACTGGTTGCCCAAAAAACAAGCATTAAGGTGGCTGCACACCTGTGGCACAGCTGTAATTTTAGCGAGTCAGGAGGCTGAGTTCTGAGGCTCTTAGTCCAAAGCCAGAATGAGCAGGAAAGTCCATGACATCTGTAAGAATTCAATTAAGCACCAAAAATGGGGTTGTGGTGAAAGTAGTGGGGCCTTGAACACAAAAGCTCAGGGACAGTTCCAGGCCCTGAGTTCAAGCTCCAGGACGGGCACAAAAAGAAATAAAATTTTTAAGAAAGACCCTTGCACCCTTAGAGTGGCTAAAAATGGGTCTAGAGGTACCTATCTCCAACCTCAAACAGCCCTCCAGAGCTAAAGCTCTGCAGGGGCCAGTTCAGTGTCTACCCAGTCTGCACGTGCCCTGCGCCAGGCTTTGGCCCATCCACAGGGGTCAAGGGCATGGGGGTCTTGTGGCAGGAGGGGCACCTCTGCAGGCACCAGCTCTTACCACTCAGCCAGCTGGCCATCCAGGCTCCTTGCCCTGCCCTTCCCTATCCCAGGACCCCACCCCGCATCCCAGGGACCCCACCCTGCATCCCAGACCCAGGGACCCTGGGATCTCACCCTCTCTCCCACGCCACTGCCCGGCCGGAGAAAACAGGAAGTGTGGTGCATGTCGGCCCTGGGGAGTGCAGGAAGCGGCTTATCTCCAGCCACAGCCCTGACCCCTGGCCCCACGCCGGGCAGGGGGCGCCGGACCTGGGGACAGGGCCTGCTCACCTGGCCGGGAGCCCTGGCTGCCCGCCACCCCGACACAGCTACCACCACTGGGCTTCAGGGCTAGGGGTGGGACACAGGAGGGGACATGTCTCTGGGCCCAGCTACATCAGTGCGAGTCCCCAGATTAGTGTGTGCCCCCTGACCAGTGTGAGTCCCCAGATCAGTGTGTGCCCCCTGATCAGTGTGAGTCCCCAGATCAGTGTGAGCCCCCTGATCAGTGTGAGTCTCCCAGATCAGTGTGTGCCCCCTGATCAGTGTGAGTCCCCCAGATCAGTGTGAGCCCCCAGATCAGTGTGTGCCCCCTGATCAGTGTGAGTCCCCAGATCAGTGTGTGCCCCCTGATCAGTGTGTGCCCCCTGACCAGTGTGAGTCCCCCAGATCAGTGTGAGCCCCCAGATCAGTGTGTGCCCCCTGATCAGTATGAGTCCCCCAGATCAGTGTGTGCCCCCTGATCAGTGTGAGTCCCCCAGATCAGTGTGAGCCCCCAGATCAGTGTGTGCCCCCTGATCAGTGTGAGTCCCCAGATCAGTGTGTGCCCCCAGATCAGTGTGTGCCCCCTGATCAGTGTGAGTCCCCCAGATCAGTGTGAGCCCCCAGATCAGTGTGTGCCCCCTGACCAGTGTGAGTCCCCAGATCAGTGTGTGCCCCCTGATCAGTGTGAGTCCCCCAGATCAGTGTGAGCCCCCAGATCAGTGTGTGCCCCCTGACCAGTGTGAGCCCCCAGATCAGTATGTGCCCCCTGATCAGTGTGAGTCCCCCAGATCAGTGTGAGCCCCCAGATCAGTGTGTGCCCCCTGACCAGTGTGAGCCCCCAGATCAGTGTGTGCCCCCTGATCAGTATGAGTCCCCCAGATCAGTGTGTGCCCCCTGATCAGTGTGAGTCCCCCAGATCAGTGTGAGCCCCCAGATCAGTGTGTGCCCCCTGATCAGTGTGAGTCCCCAGATCAGTGTGTGCCCCCAGATCAGTGTGTGCCCCCTGATCAGTGTGAGTCCCCCAGATCAGTGTGAGCCCCCAGATCAGTGTGTGCCCCCTGATCAGTGTGAGTCCCCCAGATCAGTGTGAGCCCCCAGATCAGTGTGAGCCCCCAGATCAGTATGTGCCCCCTGATCAGTGTGAGTCCCCAGATCAGTGTGTGCCCCCTGATCAGTGTGAGTCCCCCAGATCAATGTGAGCCCCCAGATCAGTGTGAGTCCCCCAGATCAATGTGAGCCCCCAGATCAGTGTGAGTCCCCAGATCAGTGTGTGCCCCCTGATCAGTGTGAGCCCCCAGATCAATGTGAGCCCCCAAATCAGTGAGTCCCCCAGATCAGTATGAGCCCCCAAATCAGTAAGTCCCCCACATCAATGTGAGTCCCCCCCAGATCAGTGTGAGCCCCCAGATCAATGTGAGCCCCCAGATCAGTGTGAGCCTCCAGATCAATGTGAGCCCCCAGATCAATGTGAGTCCCCCCAGATCAGTGTGAGTCCCCCAGATCAATGTGAGCCCCAAGATCAGTGTGAGCCCCCAGATCAGTGTGAGTCCCCAGATCAATGTGAGCCCCCAGATCAGTGTGAGCCCCCTAGATCAGTGTGAGTCCCTCCAGATCAGTGTGAGTCCCCCAGATCAATGTGAGCCCCCAGATCAGTGTGAGCCCCCAGATCAATGTGAGCCCCCAGATCAGTGTGAGCCCCCAAATCAACGTGAGCCCCCAAATCAATGTGAGCCCCCAGATCAGTGTGAGCCACCTACATCAGTGTGAGCCCCTAGGGCAGTGTGAGTCCCCCCAGATCAGTGTGAGTCCCCCCAGATCAATGTGAGCCCCCAAATCAGTGTGAGTCCCCAGATCAATGTGAGCCCCTAAATCAATGTGAGCCCCCAGGTCAGGGAGTCCCCCCCAGATCAGTGTGAGTCCCCCCAGATCAATGTGAGCCCTCAGGTCAGTGTGAGTCCCCCCCAGATCAGTGAGTCCCCAGATCAATGTGAGCCCCTAAATCAACGTGAGCCCACAGGTCAGGGAGTCCCCCCCAGATCAGTGTGAGTCCCCAGATCAGTGTGAGTGCCCCTATATCAATGTGAGCCCCCAAATCAACATGAGCCCCCTACATCAGTGTGAGTCCCCCAGATCAGTGTGAGCTCCCTACATCAGCGTGAGTTCTCCTACATCAGCATGAATCCCCCCCAGGTCAGTGTGAGCCCCCTAGATAAGTGTGTTCCCCTACATCAGTGTGAGCCCCCAGTTCAGTGTGAGTTCCCCTACATCAGTGTGTTCCCCCTGCATCAGTGTGAGCCCCCAGTTCAGTGTGAGTTCCCCTACATCAGTGTGTTCCCCTGCATCAGTGTGAACCCCCAGATCAGTGTGAGCCCCCAGTTCAGTGTGAGCTCCCTACATCAGTGTGTCCCCCTGCATCAGTGTGAGTTCCCCTATATCAGTGTGTCCCCCTGCATCAGTGTGAGCCCCCAGTTCAGTGTGAGTTCCCCTACATCAGTGTGAGTTCCCCCTGCATCAGTGTGAGTTCCCCTACATCAGTGTGGTCCCCTGCATCAGTGTGAGCCCCCAGTTCAGTGAGTTCCCCTACATCAGTGTGAGTTCCCCTACATCAGTGTGAGTTCCCCCTGCATCAGTGTGAGTTCCCCTACATCAGTGTGGTCCCCTGCATCAGTGTGAGCCCCCAGTTCAGTGTGAGCCCCCAGTTCAGTGTGAGCTCCCTACATCAGTGTGTTCCCCCTGCATCAGTGTGAGTTCCCCTACATCAGTGTGAGTCCTCCCACATCAGCGTGAGCCCCCCTAGGTCAGTGTGATTTCCCCCTTCCAAGGGCAGAGTTCCTGTCAGGAGGTGACCAGGAGCCAAGACCCCAGGGTGTCCCACATTCCCAGCAACACACCCACCACCAGGGCCTGACCTACCCACTTCCCCCCAAACAAGGCTCACATCCTACAGCAGGTGCCACATCCCTGTGGTTCTTCCATTTTTAGTGGGGGGATGGAAATGGGGGTGGTTGTTTTTGTGTTTACAAAGCTGGGCCTTTACTTGGGGAGGGGCAGGACAGGGGCTGGACCCTCCCCAGCGTCCCGAAGGCCTCTGGACAGGACAATAGGCCACAGCACCGGGCACTCTGTGCTTCCTGGGGTAGAGGGCCTTGTTTGCTTCCTAGTCAGCCTCAGCCGGAGCAGGGGCCTCCTTGTCCACCTGCAGGTCTCCAGACCCACCCCCACTCCCTCACATGCAAGGGCAAAATGCCCACAAGGCCAAACCCCCTCCATGGCAGGTGTTTCCTCCTCTTCCTCCCTGTTCAGAGTGCTGCCCAGCTTGGGCAGGCAGCCAAGCTCTCTGCAACCTCCTGCTCTGCTGTGGTTCCATGTAGACTCAAGATATGTCCACCCTTCCCATGCTTCACTTGCTCAGCTCAGTGACACTCTCGGGCTTAGGTGCTGGGGGATAGGGTGGGATCACAGCACTGTCTGAATGCAGGAGGGACTGGAAGTGGGGAGCAAACAACTGGGCAAAGACTAGCTTGCCACTTCCAGATGTTCCTTCAAAGACTGGTTTGGGAGACGGTGGGCCTGAAGCTCAGTTCAAAGTCTACCAAGCCCCTCCTCCAGCACTGTCCATGGGGGGCTTGGCTCCTGGACTACAGGGAATTGCATAGCCCTGGGCAGTACACTGGGCCGTCTTCATTCACCCACAGTCCCTTCTGGGCCACAGCTAACATCTTCCTGTACACAGTCAAGGCCTGCCTGCAAAGGCATGAATAACACAGGATAATGCCATGTCATGGCCCCAGACCTATAGTTGAGTCTGTATCTTCAGAGGTCAATTCCAGCCAGCAAAACGTCCACTGTGCAGCCCCTGTTTTGTCCTGTGCTGGGTAAAGATGAGGAAGATACACTTTGCTTTTTCTTTTGGGTCCAGTCGTGGGGCCTGAACTCTGGGCCTGGGTGCTGTCCCTCAGCTCTTCAGCTCAAGGCTAGCGCTCTACCACTTGAGCCACAGCGCCACTTCTGGCTTTTTTCTTTTTTCTTATGTGGTGCTGAGGAATTGAACCCAGGGCCTCAGGCACGCAAGGCAAGCACTGTACCACTGAGCCACCTAGGAAGATACACTTTGTCCTCCCAAACTCCAAAGGGCCCCTGGGACAATCCACTGAATACTGTGGAGCGGTGTCCCAGGGTCTAAGTCTGTCTCCTTTCTGCAGCTCTGAGACGTTGCCCTCATCCTGCAAAAGGATGGTAGTGGACAGCTCCAGGCTGACCCTGGCAGGGTCCCTAAACAAGCCATGAGACCAAGATACAGGTGCTTCTCACTCATCATGTGATCTAGTCTAGGACTAGAGAATCAAACCATGTGCCCCAAACTCAGGCCTCTGCTCCTTCTGTGACCTTCAGGAGGTGGTGGTTTGTTTCATCTTTCCCTAGTCAAAGAAGTGACTTGGTGCCCATCTACCTGCCTGAACAGCCGGGTGGGAGCACTGTACATGGGCAGCAGTTGCAGAATACCAAGAAGGCCATGTCCAGGGGCCACTAGGACAGAAGTGCTGGGCTGGGTCCCGGCACAGTCGCCAGCTGCCCTTGGCAAGGTGGTTTTTCCTGATCTGTTCTGCTCTCAGTGGATCCTGCCTGAGTGACTCCCTCAGCAAAGTTGTTCCGCTCTGTTCATGACACATACCCAACCTGAGCAACTCCCTAGTCATGTTCTGCTGTCCTACACCTGATCTTCCAACAAAGTTCAACCTTTCTCCCATCTGGACACGTGGCTATACCTGGCAGGAGCTGGCCTTGGTCCAGGCCATGTCTTCTGAACTCTACTTCTCTACTGGTATTCCCCAATACAAGGCCTGCAAGCAAGGACCAGGGGATGGTCCAGCACTCCAACAATGCACAGCCAGGGGTCTCTAAATCCCTCACTTTCTGAAGACACCTCCTAGACCCATCATGTACTTGGATCCCACTTGGTATACTTGCTGGTTCCCTTCATATCTTCCATGGAACTGAGCCAGAATGTTCTATGGCCTGGAAAACTGCTGCAAGTGTGAGTACGAAGGTGGACGAAGCACACACGAAGTCCAGGAAGCTCACTCTCCATTGATATCTGTCCTCGGAGCCAGGTCTGATCCCAGCTCCTGATCAGGGCGAGTCCTGTACCCTCTCTATGCCTGCTCTCTCAGCTGAGAAAGCGGGCAACGGCCCTCCTTGGACAGGGAAATGGAGGCAGTAGGCACCGGGCAGGACCCCGTCCAGGCTAGCTCTTCCTGGTCCCGGAGCTCTTCAGGACCGGGCTTCCCTGGCTCTCCTCCCGGTGGATTGAGGAGGCCAAGCACTGGAGCCGAGGCAGGCGCTGGGGCCCGCGGCCCCTTCCACAGATGGGGCCGGGCGGTCGCGGGCCCCACCCCGGCCGCAGGAAATGACCTGGCGGAGCTCAGGCCAGGGCGGCCCGGCCAGCTTCCCCTCGCCCCGTTTCCTTTATCCGGTTGTTTTGCTGTGAATTCTCCGAGCTGCGCCTTCCTCCACGTCCGCCCCCTCGGCCGGCGGGTGCCCAGCCGCGCCCGGGCCTCTCGCGCCCCCTGCCGCCCGGGCCGCCCGGGTAAGCCGGTGGGGCCCCGGGTAAGCCGGTGGGCGGGTCAGCGGGTCGGCCCGCGGCTCCTCCGGGCCCGCTCGGCGGCGGGGGGGGGGGGGGGGGGGGGGGGGGTCGGGCCGTGGGGGGGCTCGGGCCGTGGGGGGGCTCAGCCTGTGGGGGGCTCGGGCCGTGGGGGGGCTCAGCCTGTGGGGGGCTCGGGCCGTGGGGGGGCTCAGCCTGTGGGGGGGGCTCGGGCCGTGGGGGGGCTCAGCCTGTGGGGGGCTCAGCCTGTGGGGGGCTCGGGCCGTGGGGGGCTCAGCCTGTGGGGGGGGCTCGGGCCGTGGGGGGGCTCAGCCTGTGGGGGGCTCAGCCTGTGGGGGGCTCGGGCCGTGGGGGGCTCGGCCCGTGGGGGGGCTCGGGCCGTGGGGGGCTCGGGCCGTGGGGGGCTCGGCCTGTGGGGGGGCTCGGGCCGTGGGGGGGCTCGGGCCGTGGGGGGGCTCGGGCCGTGGGAGGGGGGGCTCAGCCTGTGGGGGGCTCGGGCCGTGGGGGGGCTCGGGCCGTGGGGGGGCTCAGCCTGTGGGGGGCTCGGGCCGTGGGGGGGGCTCGGGCCGTGGGGGGGCTCGGGCCGTGGGGGGGCTCGGGCCGTGGGGGGGGCTCGGGCCGTGGGGGGGCTCGACCTTGGGGGGGCTCGGCCCGTGGGAGGGGGGGCTCAGCCTGTGGGGGGCTCGGGCCGTGGGGGGGCTCGGGCCGTGGGGGGGGCTCGGGCCGTGGGGGGGCTCAGCCTGTGGGGGGCTCGGGCCGTGGGGGGGCTCGGGCCGTGGGGGGGGCTCGGCCGGGGAGCGGCCGGGCTGGGCCCCGGTGTCCGGCGGCGGGGTCAGCGTGGCCCCGGCCCGCGGCGCCCAGCGCGAAGAGCTGGCTCCAGCAGGTGGCGACGGTGCCCAGCGCGCGCATCAGGAGCCGCCTCCGGCCGCCGCGACTCCGGGCCGGGGCGGGGCGCGCTCGGGGCCGGCTGCCCTGTGGCGGGAAAGGAACCGCTGACCCGCGCCCGCCCGCGCCCGTCCCCCCGCCCGCGCCCGTCCCCCCGCCCGCGCCCGTCCCCCCGCCCGCGCCCGACCCCCGTCCCCCCGCCCGCGCCCGTCCCCCCGCCCGCGTCCGTCCCCCCGCCCGCGCCCGTCCCCCCGCCCGCGCCCGACCCCCGTCCCCCCGCCCGCGCCCGTCCCCCCGCCCGCGCCCGACCCCCGTCCCCCCGCCCGCGCCCGACCCCCGTCCCCCCGCCCGCGCCCGTCCCCCCGCCCGCGCCCGTCCCCCCGCCCGCGTCCGTCCCCCCGCCCGCGCCCGTCCCCCCGCCCGCGCCCGTCCCCCCGCCCGCGCCCGTCCCCCCGCCCGCGCCCGTCCCCCCGCCCGCGCCCGACACCCCGCCCGCGCCCAACCCCCGTCCCCCCGCCCGCGCCCGTCCCCCCGCCCGCGCCCGTCCCCCCGCCCGCGCCCGTCCCCCCGCCCGCGCCCGACCCCCGTCCCCCCGCCCGCGCCCGTCCCCCCGTCCCCCCGCCCGCGCCCGACCCCCCGCCCGCGCCCGTCCCCCCGCCCGCGCCCGTCCCCCCGCCCGCGCCCGACCCCCGTCCCCCCGCCCGCGTCCGTCCCCCCGCCCGCGCCCGTCCCCCCGCCCGCGCCCGACCCCCGTCCCCCCGCCCGCGCCCGTCCCCCCGCCCGCGTCCGTCCCCCCGCCCGCGCCCGTCCCCCCGCCCGCGCCCGACCCCCGTCCCCCCGCCCGCGCCCGTCCCCCCGCCCGCGCCCGTCCCCCCGCCCGCGCCCGTCCCCCCGCCCGCGCCCGACCCCCGTCCCCCCGCCCGCGCCCGACCCCCGTCCCCCCGCCCGCGCCCGTCCCCCCGCCCGCGCCCGACCCCCCGCCCCCCCGCCCGCGCCCGTCCCCCCGCCCGCGCCCGACCCCCCGCCCGCGCCCGACCCCCGTCCCCCCGCCCGCGCCCGTCCCCCCGCCCGCGCCCGTCCCCCCGCCCGCGCCCGACCCCCCGCCCCCCCGCCCGCGCCCGTCCCCCCGCCCGCGCCCGTCCCCCCGCCCGCGCCCGACCCCCCGCCCCCCCGCCCGCGCCCGTCCCCCCGCCCGCGCCCGTCCCCCCGCCCGCGCCCGACCCCCGTCCCCCCGCCCGCGCCCGTCCCCCCGCCCCCCCGCCCGCGCCCGTCCCCCCGCCCGCGCCCGACCCCCGTCCCCCCGCCCGCGCCCGACCCCCCGACCCCCCGCCCGCGCCCGACCCCCCGTCCCCCCGCCCGCGCCCGTCTCCCCGCCCGCGCCCGACCCACGTCCCCCCGCCCGCGCCCGTCCCCCCGCCCGACCCCCGTCCCCCCGCCCGCGCCCGTCCCCCCGCCCGCGCCCGACCCCCGTCCCCCCGCCCGAGCCCGACCCCCAGCCCGCGCCCGTCCCCCCGCCCGCGCCCGACCCCCGTCCCCCCGCCCGCGCCCGACCCCCCGCCCGCGCCCGACCCCCCGCCCGCGCCCGTCCCCCCGCCTGCCCCTGTCCTGCCCCTGTCCTGCCCTGTCCTGCCCCTGTCCTGCCCCTGCCCCTGCCCCTGCCCCTGCCCTGCCCCTGCCCCTGCCCCTGTCCTGCCCCTGCCCCTGCCCCTGCCCTGCCCCTGCCCCTGCCCTGCCCCTGTCCCTGCCCCTGCCCTGCCCTGCCCCTGCCCCTGCCCCTGCCCCTGTCCCTGCCCCTGTCCTGCCCTGTCCTGCCCCTGCCCTGCCCCTGCCCCTGCCCCTGTCCCTGCCCCTGCCCCTGCCCCTGCCCCTGCCCCTGCCCTGCCCCTGCCCCTGCCCTGCCCCTGCCCCTGCCCTGCCCCTGCCCCTGCCCCTGCCCCTGCCCTGCCCCTGCCCCTGCCCTGCCCCTGCCCTGTCCTGCCCCTGCCCCTGCCCCTGTCCTGCCCCTGCCCCTGCCCCTGCCCCTGTCCTGCCCCTGCCCCTGCCCCTGCCCCTGCCCTGCCCCTGTCCTGCCCTGCCCCTGCCCCTGCCCTGCCCCTGCCCCTGCCCCTGCCCCTGCCCTGCCCTGCCCCTGCTCCTGCCCTGCCCCTGCCCCTGCCCCTGTCCTGCCCTGCCCCTGCCCCTGCCCTGTCCCTGCCCCTGCCCTGCCCCTGCCCCTGCCCCTGCCCCTGTCCTGCCCCTGCCCTGCCCTGCCCCTGCCCTGCCCCTGCCCCTGCCCTGCCCCTGCCCCTGCCCTGCCCCTGCCCCTGCCCTGCCCCTGTCCTGCCCTGCCCCTGCCCCTGCCCCTGCCCCTGCCCTGCCCTGCCCCTGCCCTGCCCCTGCCCCTGCCCCTGCCCCTGCCCTGCCCCTGCCCTGTCCTGCCCCTGCCCCTGCCCCTGTCCTGCCCTGCCCCTGCCCCTGCCCCTGCCCCTGCCCTGCCCCTGCCCTGCCCTGCCCCTGCCCCTGCCCTGCCCTGCCCCTGCCCTGCCCCTGCCCCTGCCCCTGCCCCTGTCCGCGTCCGCCCGCACCCGCCCGCGCGGGATGGAAGGGAAGGGAGGGGGCCGCGCCCCGAGCCGCACCTGGCGCGCGGTCCAGCAGTGGCGGCGCATCACCGCCTGCGTCCTCACCGCCACCGTCCACGCCGCTCTCTCCAGGGCGCCCCGACGGCCCTCGGCCGCCGCTCCGCGCAGGGTCCACACCAGAGACTCGATGGACAGGAGGATGGTGCGCTCCTGGGGGCGAGGAGGGGCCGAGGAGAGGGGGGCGTGGTGGGGGACGGGGGTGGGGGTCTCGCGCCCTCTGGGGGAGGTGGGGTCCCCACACCCTCTGGGGAGTAGGCCGGGTCCCCCATACCCTCTGAGGGAGGCGGGGTCCCCACACCCTCTGGGGAGGAGGGGGGTCCCCATGTCTTCTGGGGAGGAGGAGGGTCCCCCTGCGCTCTGGGGAGGAGGCAGGGTCCCCATGTCCTCTTGGGGAGGAGGCGGGGTCCCCATGTCCTCTGGGGAGGAGGCAGGTCCCCATGCCTTCTGGGGAGGAGGCAGGGTCCCCATGCGCTCTGGGGAGGAGGCGGGGTCCCCATGTCCTCTGGGGAGGAGGCAGGTCCCCATGCCTTCTGGGGGGAAGAGGCGGGGGTCCCTATGTCCTCTGGGGAGGAGGCGGGGTCCCCATGCGCTCTGGGGAGGAGGCGGGGTCCCCATGCGCTCTGGGGAGGAGGGGGGTCCCCATGTCCTCTGGGGAGGAGGCGGGTCCCCATGCGCCCTGGGGGGAAGAGGCGGGGGTCCCCATGTCCTCTGGGGGGAAGAGGCGGGGGTCCCCATGCGCTCTGGGGAGGAGGCGGGGTCCCCATGCGCTCTGGGGGGAAGAGGCGGGGGTCCCTATGTCCTCTGGGGAGGAGGTGGGGTCCCCATGTCCTCTGGGGAGGAGGCGGGGTCCCCATGTCCTCTGGGGAGGAGGCGGGGTCCCCATGCGCTCTGGGGAGGAGGGGGTCCCCATGCGCTCTGGGGAGGAGGCGGGTCCCCATGCGCTCTGGGGAGGAGGCGGGGTCCCCATGCGCTCTGGGGAGGAGGCGGGTCCCCATGCACTCTGGGGGGAAGAGGCGGGGGTCCCCATGCGCTCTGGGGGAGGAGGCGGGGGGGGGGGGGGTCCCCATGCGCTCTGGGGAGGAGGCCCGTACCTGTCGGGCACCGCAGGAGGCTCCAGGCCAGCCCCGCCCGCCGCCAGCTCCCAGGTGGTTCTGTCTAGAGCCTGGCCGCGCATGCGCGGCAGCTGGCAAGGGTAGCCGCAGCCGCAAGGCCGCCTTCAGGTCCTGGAAGATGACGGCGCGGTAGTGGTGGAGCATCTCCGGGACGCGGCAGGAGCCGGGCCCCGGCCGGCCTGGCCAGGCCCCGGGCAGCGCCAGCAGCAGCACGCAGAGGGCCGCCTCCGGGGACACCTAGAGGGAGCGCGGGTCAGGACGGGTCTGGCCCGAGGCCCACCGTCGAGGGACGTCTTGGAACAAACCTTTGCCCGACTTAGAAAAGCAGAGACCATAAATAAGCCTGCACACTGGACATCGCTCCATGTTCTGTTGCAAAATTTGTGGGAATTATACTGGGGGTTGAGGAGGCCATTTCACTGAGCCCCGAGTCCACAGCGGGTGTCGGGTGGACACGGGAGGGAGGCAGGTGAGGGCTGGGCACTGGCAGTCCTAGCTTCTTGGGAGGCTGGGGCTAGAGGATCTGCTTGAAGCCAAGCCAGAGAGAAAAGCCCATGAGACTGTCTCTAATCCTGCTAGATGCCAGACTGGCAGCCTGGCTCAAGTACTAGAGTACCAGTTCCAAGCATGCACACAGATTGAGAACTTGAGGCTGAGTTCAGGATACATATAGGTACATGCACAGTGCATGTGCACGTGTGCACGTGAATACACACACACCACACACACACAAACTGGAGGGACCACCTGGCTTTGTACAGTTGACATGGGCTTGTTCTGCTGTGGATAGGGAAGAGCAGGAAGTGAGCCCAGAATAGTCTTACCTCTGGCCATGCTCAGACTCATACCTATCAGCTGCAGCCCCCACCACACACGAGGCAGTTTCCTCTTGCTAATGCCTGGGTTGCCTCTGGGTAAGAGGCACCTGAGGACAGAAGGGCTCAGCTCTTGGAGGCGTGGGAATCCCTACTTCCTATCACGGGTCTGCCACAACCAGCTGAGCCACAGACCCAGCATGAACAAAAGCTCTGAGCTCCAGGCCAGGCTAGGGAACTCCCAGAGGTAGCAGGGGAGAAGGGAGCTACCTGACACCCCACCCACAGGCCTCATCCTGCCCAGATGGGCGGGGGCAGGGAGACTCCTGAAGGTCCCCTAGGCGCATCCATTCCCAAGGGGACGGTCTCCAAACCTGCCCCAGGCCTCCAGGAGGGAGTCAGGAGCCAACTCAAGCTGAAAACTCAATCATGTGAACCCAGGGAGATGACAGGACTCCAGGGCTTCCCAGTCCTGGCAGGGACTTGGCGCACACCCCAAACCCTCACTGAGAGCTGACTGAGGCCTCCTATTGGGGCACCAGACTGAAAGAGAAGACATTTTACCATGGCCCCTTCTTGGGGTTTACTGGCACCAAGGACAGTGAGGGTGGACTAAGAATCGCCTGTGGCCCCTTGTCTTGCTGCCAGTAGAGGTTATACTAAGAACAGTCTACATGTCAGCCGGAGCAGCTGGAGAAATGTGCTACACCACTGCACCCGATACACTGCTCCCAGATACACCCCTTCAGCCCCCAAAACGCAGGCTCAGCAGTGTGGGAGGAAATTGTTTTAGGGAGACCAGACTTGTCTCAGAGCACTGCGTTGGATTATAGGAAGCAGCAAAAGGCTTCCAAGAGGCACAGGGGAAGCAGCATTCCCTGCGCTGTGCTGGCTCCTGAACCCTTAAACCAAACCGGATACCCCCCACTGCTCACCAGGGGTCTCCCCAAAGTCCCCCCACCTTTGGCTGCTCACCATATGCCTTTCAGGGATTGGTCCTCCTCCACAACCTGCAGCAGGTCAGGAACATGACCTGAGACCCTCAGGAGTCTGAGTGGACAGGGTAGTGGTGATTGGCTACACCAACGTGCCTACACCAGGCCCAGCACCTTAAAACAAGGATAAGGGCAGGCGGAAGTTGTCTCCCCTCGCAAAGGAGGGAGGGAGAAGGAAGGAGAGGCCAGCAAGTCCTGCTCCCTCCCTCCCTCTCCCCACCCTCCAATCACTCCCAGTCACCTAAGGCTGGAGCCCAGCAGTTGCTTGAGGCAGCAGATCTAAGGGCTGCTGTGGGCTGGATTGAGTGTCAGTCAGGAAAACCCTGCTGCCAAGTGGCAGGAATGGCAAGGTGGGCACCAGGAAATGCAGGTCCCACAGAGACCCGCGGAGCCTGCTGGGAAGACCTTGCCCCTTCCCCGCGCTCACTGGCCCCACACTGGCTCCTGTCCTTGCATGAACTTCTCAGGCTCCCTGCTCCTGGACCGAGTAGTCTTCACGGCTGGGAAGTCATGGTCCCAAAAGGCTGAGAGTAGCCTCTAGGATACAGCTCGCTCTGAGCTTAAAAGTTCAGGGGTGCTTTTCAGGAATGGAGGCTACCTCAAAGCGACTGAGAAAGCCCTCATGCAGATGAGGAAACAAGCAGGTATTACAACTGCTCTGGCCCCACAGGAAGCCTCACCAGGGCTTTTTTTTGCCAGTCCTGGGGCTTGAACTCAGCACCTGGGCACTGTCCCTAAGATTCTTCTTTTTTTGGGTCCAGTCATGGGGCCTGAACTCTGGGCCTGGGCGCTGTGTCCCTCAGCTCTTCAGCTCAAGGCTAGCGCTCTACCACTTGAGCCACAGCGCCACTTCCAGCTTTTTTCTTATGTGGTGCTGAGGAATCGAACCCAGGGCCTCATGCATGCGAGGCAAGCGCTCTACCACTGAGCCACCTTCCCAGCCCCCCTAAGCTTCTTTTGCTCAAGGCTAGCACTCTATCATTTGGGCCATAGTGCTACCTCCGGCTTTTTCCATTGATGTGGTACTGAGGAATTGGACCCAGGGCTGTGTGCATGCTAGGTAATCACTTGACCACTGAGCCACCTTCCCAGCCCCCAGGGCATGCTTGGATGTGCCCACGAAGTTGCAGTCCTGGGTTTGGCTTTCACTGGTTAGGGGCCAGCTGACTTTGGCTGCTTCTTCAGATTGGTTCCTGGTGCCCTCATGCCTCCTGGATGCACAAGAACACACCAGCAGCTCTTCCAGCCACTCCTGTGGGTGGGCGAATGTGTGGCGGGCCCGTGTCCAGGTGACCAGCCCCGTGCCTCCCAAGCAGCGACTATGTCCTACTCGGGGCGACTGGACCTCAAGACTCAAAACAGGGGGCTGGGAAGGTGGCCCAGTGGTAGAGCGCTTGCCTCGCATGCATGAGGCCCTGGGTTCAATTCCTCAGCACCACATACACAGAAAAAGCTAGAAGTGGCGCTGTGGCTCAAGTGGTAGGGCACTAGCCTTGAGCTGAAGAGCTGAGGGACAGCGCCCAGGCCCAGAGTTCAGGCCCCACAACCGACCAAAAAATTAAAGTCTCAGAACAGGAAAGGTATTGCACAGGTGAGCAACAGGCAGCACAGACGCTGCCCGCCAGCGTCAGGAGCTGGACACCACTGCAGGGTCATTAGCTTCTGTTCTCCAGGAAACGGGTCTCCAAGAACCATGGCTTATTATTCAACATGACCATATTTCTGTCCTGGCCAGTCTGAGCTTGTCCATTGCTATCCTCTGTCTGTGACCTCTAGTCAGGTGCCTCTGGCCCAGCCTACACACCCACTTCCAGCAAAGCCAGATTTTTTTTTCCTTTTTTTTTTTTTTTTTGTCGGTCGTGGGGTTTGAACTCTGGGCCTGGGCGCTGTCCCTCAGCTCTTCAGCTCAAGGCAAGTGCTCTATTGCTTCAGCCACAGCGTCACTTCCGGTTTTCTATTAGTGTATTGGAGCTAAGTCTCATAGACTTTCCTGCCCGGGCTGGCTTTGAGCCCCAATCCTCAGATTTCAGCCTCCTGAGTAGCTAGGATTACAGGTGTGAGCTACCGACGGCCGGCTTGAGTCAGATTGTTTTCAACTCAGGGCACATACACAAGAATCTGAGACCCTTGGGCTGGGAAGGTAGCTCAGTGGTAGAGCACTTGCCTTGCATGCATGAGGCCCTGGGTTCGATTCCTCAGCACCACATAAGCAAAAAGAAAAAAAAAGCCGGAAGTGGGGCTGTGGCTCAAGTGGTAGAGCGCCAGCCTTGAGCTGAAGAACTGAGGGACAGCGCCCAGGCCCAGAGTTCAGGCCCCATGACTGGACCCAAAAAAAAAAAAAAAAAAGAATCTGAGACCCAAGGAAGACCTGTATTTAATTTTCAATCCAATAATGACAAGTTACAAGTACTGTAGGAGAAAAGTGCTATGGATTAGCAAAAAGATTCACCTGCAAGAGAGAGCCTCTGAACAGTGGCATCTTTAGAGGCCTAGGGCAGGCCTGGAGAGGCCCCCGCAGAGCACAGCCTGTCATCCACACTGACTCGAGGCCCCAGCTTCACAGCACCAAAGGCCTCCTGAGAGCTCTGTCCCCTTCAGCTTAGTCTCAGATCTGAGGCTCAGTACCCCACTCTCCAAAGCCTGTGTTCCCAACACTTCCACCTTCACAAAATCTGTGAGCGCTGGCATCCCATGACTCTTCCAGGTACAAATAAACACCTACAGGGCTGGGAAGGCGGCTTAGTAGGCGAGTGCTTGCTTAGCATGCATGAAGCCCTGGGTTCGATTCCTCAGTACCACATACACAGAAAAAGCCAGAGTGGTACTGTGACTCAAGTAGTAGAGCACTAGACTTGAGCAAAATGAAGCTCAGGGACAGTGCCCAGGCCCTGAGTTGTTCAAGCCCCAAGACTGGCAAAAAAAAAAAAAAAAGTACCCTAACCATTCCTTGTAGGTGTGGGAGACCAGATTGGGTAGAAAAGGACCTGGAGAAAAGTAGAACCTCAGCCCCAGCGCACTGCATAAGAGCCTTTAATGAAGGTCAGACTGCACAGTGCTGTGTCCCATGCACGTGCCACCACAGCCGGCGCCTCACGCCCACCCACCCCAGCATCAGAAGCATCAGAAGGTGTTCTTGATGCGCGCAGCCACCAGCACCAGGACCTCCCCAATCTTCTTCTGCCAGTTGGCAATATCTTTGGACACAGTGCACCACAGCTCTCCATGGCGGGGCTCAGCATTCTCACAGCGCTTTCTCACGTCCTCCTGCTGCTCCTGAGGAAAGCACCGCACAGCACTTCAGGCAGGGCTTCTCTAGGCTTCTCTGCTCCTTCGTACTCCTGGTCCCACGGATCTCAAGGTAGCCTCTCTGCTTAGGGAGCGTACCCGCTGATGACCTTCCTCCCACCCTCAAGATTCACTGCTAAGGGGTGCAGGTGTGTGTGTGTGCGTGGGTGTGTGTGCACGTGTGTGCACTGAGGGGTGCTGGTGTGTATCTGTGTGTGTGTGTGTGTGTGCGCGCTAAGGAGTGCAGGGGTGTGTGTGTGTGTGTGTGAGC